TGCTGTTTGATGTAGATGCAATAACCTAGCTCATGTCCAAACAATCTTAAGTTTGATGATTCTTTGCCTTACCATTTCTATTAGCTGCTTGAACAACTTCCATGTAAGCAGATGGATCATCTGCCTTTATATAGGAGTCGATGGCTTCTTTCACCAAGTCCTTCTGGAGCTGTGCTCTGGCTAGCTGGCTCCATACTGCTGGTTCATTACATCTCTCTGCAAATTCATAAGCACGGTCTAAATTGCCAATGTGCTCAATCAGCACCTGTTTGAAATTGAAGTTGCAAGTTACAAATCAAAGCTTTCTAACATTCTCCTTTCTAACAGGACTCCTCCTTCAAGTGTATATGCTGTTCTGTGTAAGCAATATGACACTAACTGCTTTTAGAACAGCCATTTCTGTCCAATGAATTAGAGGCAGCAAGAATAAGACTCTTGTTGCTATGGTTTCTCCTCTGCTTTACAGAGGTCAGTAATGTTGGCCTAAAGACAATGCCTAGCAGCATTTGCTTCTCCTGCACCTTTCAAGTACGAGTCTTCAAGGTAGCCACTCTGAATCGAATGGAGCACACACCCACCCCCCCCAAGGATATAGTGCAACACCCTGACATTTTTTTTTTATTACTTTGACCAGGATCAGCCTCAGCCAAGTCAGTATTTTGACTGTTTTGCTAGTTTTTGCACACAATCCCACTTCTCCCTGCAACTTGGTATCATATGGGAACTGTACTCTTAAGTCTCAGTGATTTAAGTAACAATCACTCCTGAAGAACCAATATAACGGTACACTTCCCATTCTCTCTATCACTAGCATTCTATACCTTTATGCAGAAACCACACCTCACCTGAATTGCTGAAGTATTAACATCAAATTTTCTGAAGATAGCAAAGGCTTCTTCATATAGCTCATTACTAATGGCAATGTTTGCAATATCTGGGGCATCATAGTTATCCAGCCGATTGATGTATTCCATCACACGAGTGCGGTCAGCCTTAATAGCAGTCAGGATCAGCAGATTCTGGAGATTCCTTTGGTTAACAGAAGGCAGAGGCTATAAGTGGTGCATAGTAACATCTGCTCAAGTGACATGTATTGTACATGCAAAAAAAAAAAGAAAAATACACCCACTTGCTGTCACTAGCAACAACCTTTCATCCCCAGATTGAGAAGCACTGATATTTGCCTTCAAAAAGAAATTGCTTACCAATATCAGTGCTCTCTTGTCTCAACACATCACTGCAAATTGCATACTGTGAACTAGCCCTGTTCTTAAAGCACAGAGCACTTTTAAATGTGTATAAATCAGGTGAAAAAGCAGAATTTAGACTGCTTAGGTCCTGAAACCAAGAGACCCACAAATAACTTGGGTCACTTCACAACCTGAACAAAGACACTGAATAGACTAAACGTGTGAACAAAGCTCTCCTCTTACCTGTGTTCACTGAATACAGAATTATCCAAGACAATTTTTTCCAGTAACTCAATCAACTCATTAGGCAGGTCAGCAGTCATGAAAGCTTTCACAGTAACAGAAACCTCCTCTGGATCCTGTGTCTCTGATAAAGCTGTTTGGACAACCTGGATTTAAAGGCAGGAAAGTTAAATGTTTTCCCCAAATGAGATTTGCCAATCTATTCCAGTGAACTACAAATTAAGGCTTCAGAACTTTCAGAGTATTTTATCATAGACAGCAAGAAAGAGCTACTTCTACACTGGATATGGCTTATTAAAGTCACACCTTGATGTAAAGGGAGCAAATTCTCTAGAGGTAGGTCACTCCACAGGAGAGAAATAATATCTTACCGGTAACTAAGTTTGCTGACCATGAAGGTCAGAGTTAATACCTCCCACTCAAGCTCTTACAAATTTCTGTATGGTTGAGATAAGGCCTGGCCTCAAGGGATCTTGTGAGGGAAGACAGCTACTTTAATGCTCTGTAATGTTTCTGAGACATCCTGAGGTCTCCTCATACTGAAAGTTTAGCCTTTGTGCTGTACCTGGTCAATAAGCTGCCGCCTGAATGGGTTGTTTTCTTCCAGAACATTTGCCCAGAGCTCAGGGTCCTTCCTGCGCACCAGATAGCGAGCCTCACTCTTAAACAGTGAGTTCTCATTGCAGACCTGAAGGAGAGGTTACAAACATTGACATTAACATTAAGGGTTAGTGCCACAAGACAGGTTTAGCTAGCTATGAATCAGACAGTCTAGAAGACTGACTAAAACTAATTGCTGACCAATGCTAAATGCCACAGACAAATTCTTACCCAACCTCTGATCTGGAAGGCTCATGGAGAAGGTCTCCAGCAGAATTTCTATAGCTTCTCTTGGTTTTGCCCGACACACAAATACTGTGACAGTGTCTTCACAGTAACTATTTGCTTCTGTTTGAAGTGAAGATCTGCAGAAGCCTGAAGAACTTAAGTTTTAAATCTACAAAGGGAGCCCCTTGCCTGGGCAGTGTTAAGTAGTAAACTAAGGAATGATGCTGGTATGTAAAGCTAGAAACAGGTTACGTATTTGGTGTCATTAGCTTTACACTAGAAGTGTTCAGAGTAGCAAGTGGCTTGGATTCCCCTGTTAAAATGTTAAGGGTATAGAATAAATGTGAAATCTCCTATAGAAGTGCAGCGAGGAAGAGTTATGAGTTATGATCCTATTAGTACCACGAGCTTCAATTTCCAACTAGCAGAGTTGAAACCTGAAGGCCTATTCCATCTTCTACCAACAGGTCATGTTTTGTTAGTATCCAAATCAGCTCTTGGAATCTCAAGTACTTTGTTGTAAGCAAATTAGTAGTAGCACAGTTTTGCTTAATATTGTACATCTATTAGTTGCAGGGAGTTGAGTCCTCTTCTAGAAGGCAACAAAGTCTCAAGAATAATTCTTACAGGAGGAAAAATCTTTTCTCCATAACCAGAAACACCTGCTCAGAACATCAGTTCAAAGAAGAACTGGTAAACTGGTACTGACAGGTTTTTATGGTTAACCAGAATGTTAAAGCTTATCCTAGCAAAGCTTCCTAGCAAAACAACTCAGACCCTCCTTCATATCCTGAAATAAAAAGCCAAATATAGCCAGCTGGGGGTTTTTTGTTTGTTTTGGGTTTTTTTGTTGTTGGGGTTGGTTTTGGTTTTTTTAATAACAGCTACAGAGGAGGTAGTACTTCAAAAATATCTGGTTTAGGCTAGAAAGTCATCCACTTTCAGCAGCAAGCCTAGATTGTATCACCATTCTAACACTCACAAGGTAAGCCTTGCCAGGAAACAGCATTTACTTTTCAAACAGGGCAAAACAAGCTAGTTCTTACACCTACACAGCTGACATTCTTTGCATATACTAGTGCAGAAGTGCAGGTAGGAGGAGAATGTTTTCTTCCTCAGCAGCCACAGGCACTACTATCTGGCATTAAGCTCTAGTGTTCAGTTTGAGACTAGAATGTGTTTGGAGAACCCTGGGAATTTCACTTGCCCTTGAACTTCTGAGGGAGGTTCTAGGAATCAACAAGCTTAAGATAGGAGAGGAATGCTATCGGAAGAAGTCCTTGCAGTTTGACTGTCAACATTTATTTTCCTCATTTCTAGTTAAGTATTGGAGCAACTCTAAGGGTCAGCCACAGTAAGGGAAAATTACAAGCCCTGTTCTAGTTTCAGTGAAGTTTTTCCTCCTACTATAGAGTCAGGCTAGATGACAGCCTGTCCCTTCTGCTGATCAATTACTCAGAGGTCAAAAAAAAATCAAATTAACAAAAAATTTAACAGTAGGCATATTCATTAGCTAGGCCCAATAAACAATTTAATTTTGAGCAAAATCAGTGGATCCAAGACATGAATGGTATCTTAAAGCTGCAGAGTTACACAATTTTAGTTCAGACGTACAGCATAAGAGTTCTTTTCATCTGCATAAAAATTACCGTCTCCATATAGAAGAATCCTGCCTACCTCAACTCCTGAGTGAGACTGCAAGACAGAATTCTGCAAGTGTTAAGACAAAGAGCCAGCTAGGCTTCCACTTCAGGCTGCAAGTAGTTCTTTAACATGTTTATAAATGCAGTTTTGCTAACCTTTATGAGTTCCAGATCACATTGCCCCCTTTCATAAGCAACGCAGGCCAGATGAGGGTCCCTCTTTTCACAATATTTGCCAACTACACGGCTGTCATAGTAAGGATTCTCACGAAGGAACCCCTCTGGATTATTATTACTGTCAATGTAGATTTTGGCCAAGGCATTATGAGTCGCAGGTTCTTCACAGCCTTCATGAATCCTTGATTCAAGCCATGGCAACAGCAACTTAAGCCTTTGAAGAAGCAAACATTTTAGGTTTGTAAGTCACACTGAAGTATGCTTGACAGCTACCCATTAATACCTGGCTTTCCCTTCAAAGTCTGCTGGTCAGACTTAAAAGCAGCTAGAGACCAGCCAGTTATTTTTAATGAGTCTTAAATGAGTGAGGCCAGATCTGCAGTTTAACATCAGGGAAGGCTGCAGATACCACTAGTTTTGCAATCTTTCCTTTCAGCTCCTGTTCTGTTAGCTGGCTCTTCACACTTAAAGCCATTTGTTCATTTTACAGGTAACTACAAGCTAATTACACAAGCTGCTGTGCCTACAAGACGACTGTCAAGACAGTTTTATCCAGGTTTACTCCAAAAGCACATCCCAGGGTTGGCTGTACAGGAAATGTTCAAAAGCCATGTTATTCATCATGCAGTGCTGTCAGGCATTCCTACATAGTCCAAATAATCAAGAAACTAAGAAATCGAACATGTTTTTCTATAAAGAAACATAAACCAATATTAGCATTGTATCATTCAACAAAGCTGCATCTAATTCAATGTGGGTGTATACCAGGGTCAGAAAAGCCCCACACTGGTGTCTACAGATACATTTTCATTACCGATTTCTTTTTTCCACTTCTGCCACCAACTCATCTGTTGAGAACTGGCCTCTAACCACCATGATCAAGTTCTTAATGACATCTTCAGAACAATCCACATCAAGAAGCCCTCCAACCACTGCTGGTATACGGCTAGGATTCACCTAGAATAAGGCACCATCATTAGTTATTAGTATTACTAATAGTCCACCCCCAGTCTTCCACATGGGGAAGTTCTAGTTAACAATTTAAACTATGCTTTAGAGCATTGAATTTTAAGTTAACAAATTTGTATATACATTACAGGAAAAGCTACACTTACAGGTTTGTAATAGACACAAGGCTCATTGAAGAGCCTCTGCACTAGAAGTGTGAGCATAGGAGACATAGAAGATTCTGGCTTAGCTTACTGAAAGGTTAAGTTCCTACTAAGGAAGAAAAGAGCAAGAACTTAAAAACTGGATTCTTCTTACCTTCTGTACATAGATCTCTATATACTTCTGCAGGTTATTGCGATATAAGTAGAGCACCAGGTCATGAACAAAGTCAAATCGATCACAGACAATGATCAGAGGAAGCTGGTCTGTGAGCTTTGCCTCCTGTATTTTGTGAAAAAAAAAAAAAAGTAAGCAATCACCATTTGTTGAAGTGTTTTCAAAGCAGGAAAGTCTAACCAAGTTACCCTAGCACTAGAAGTCACAATACATTCAAATTTAAGACTGTCAAGCAGACAGTTGACTTCAAAAGCAAGTTACCACTATGAATACCATGCAGCCAGTCTATCAGTTGAGTTTTAAGTTTAGGCTCCTCATGAAGTGCCACATTAGGCCTACATCTCAGCTGAATTAGTAGTCATTTTGAAGCCAATCTATTCAGAAGACAGTTGCTGGGCCAAGAATTTAACAATGCAAAATGGAGTGGCATTAAAATGTGAAGTGTTGTAGTACGGGTTGACTCCAGTTTTAATAAGCTTTGTCTAGCCCATTTCCTTGATAAAGCTGCTGCTGAATACTTCAGCATAATCTTTCCTCTTGCCAACCTGGATTCACCTATTGTTAGGTGACAGCATACTCATGAGTTTCATACAAGTTAATATCATACAGGCTAGCTTTAAAGGAATGGTGAATTTAGGCTTGTTTTCCCAGAGGTAGCCTAGAAGGACCTATTATAAGCCTGGAATAGGATCAGACTCCTATTCCAACTATGCAGTAGACTACTCAACAGCCATGCCAGCTAAACGTTGAGTTCGTATTTCCCTCCATTAGAAGGCTGTAGTTCTGCTGCTAAGCAAAACATACAGAAGACTGCTCAATCCATTGGACAGAACATTTACCTTCAGGAAATTCTTCACCCGTTCTGGATTATAACAGTTACTTTCACGGCAGATTCTTTCCACTTCTTTTATCTGACCAGTCTTGCAAGCTGCCTGGATGTACTTGAAGTGAACATCTGGATCCTGGCTGAAGTTTACAATGGAACCCAAGAAATAGAACAGTCCTAGAAAGAGTCACATGTTTTTAACACAGTTAGAAGGGTAAACGAAGCAAGTGCAGACTGTTACAGGCTTCAGCTTGTGACTTAGTTGAACCCTGCTGAGAGAACAGTTTTTGTTCAACTGCAGGAAAAATCAGAAGGATTTTGCCCCCTCTTTCAGGTTTCATCTTTCTTTCTGATCTTTGCTCAAGAGAAGTAAGAAGCTATCTAGAACAAAGCTACCCCTAGAACTCACTGTGATGAGCTCACTTTGATAAATGCATCCTAAGGTCCAGCCATGTAACAAGTACCTCTCCCGTAAAAGTTACAATCCTTACTATTAGCTTCAATCAAGTAGTGCTTCCACTCTAAGTAAGTTGCTTCCCTCTAATACTGTACCTTCATAGCTCTTGAAAGATTCAAAAAGCTCCACCAGAGACTGAGTACCGAGCTGCTCATGGTATTTAGAAGCAACTTGCACACAGAGCTGTAGGTTTTGCCTAATGTTGGCTGACAGCATGGCACGCAAACACTCCACAGAGTCTTCAACTGAGAGCGAGCCAAAGAAGTTCACAAGCCACTGCAAAGAGAAAGAAGTTTTACTCAGTAACTTATACAGGATTTGACTGACTTCTAAAGTGTAACAACTAGCCAGAGTTTCTACCCCAGCTACTAGAGAGAAGTCTTCCACATGCTAAGACTAAAGACTTAAAGAGAAACACACTGATCTTTACAACCACAAAAATGCAGTCTGGAAGTAAGATTTAAAAATGCCCACCTGGGAAACTGAGGTCAAATTTAAGCCATGAAAAGTATAGATTATGGTTTAGTTATTAACACTGGACAAGTGTTCTTTAAAGCTACATGTGCTACTTTGGTACCTACAAACCATCTTATAGTGGCTACAGGGATTTTAGCAGCTACAGAAGTGCTAAGAGCATTCACTTTACTTTCACTTTCTTACTCTGTACTTACCTCAGGATTCAAAAGGTGAGTATGAACAACAGCACGTTTAATATCATAGAGATCTGTGTAGTGTTCCAAAGCTCGCTGGAGCAAGCCTGCCTTTTCACACAACTGGGCAATATGAGCACGATCATAATGTGTAAACATTTGGTTTCCAAGAATGGCATCTGCAACCTAGAAGATTACATTTCATATTCAGACTGTCAGAGAATCACAGCAGCTCAGGTTAAAAGTTGTTTAAACATCACAGCAGTGACTCATTAGTAGCCTTTGATGTTGCTAAACTACTTATAGATATATCAGTATCAGACATCATATTCTTGTGCAAGCCTACTACTGTCTCTTCTTCACTTTTTGGAGGAACTAGGTTAACAAGTCTTACCTGTGGGGCATGAATTAAATTCATTTCCAGGAGACGAGTCTGAAGGTGGCCTTCTGCAGGGCGGTTATTTTTCAGGGCATCCAACAGAAAGGATGTGCACTGCTGAATAAGACTGTTCTCCATGAATACATCCACAATCTGTTGAGATCAGTCAAGTTAGAGAAGGGGGTCTACATACACATATGCACATTTATCTGTATATACTAATTGCCTTGCTAGAAGGCTAGAAAGGAAGCTCACCACAGCACCTAGCGTGCTCTATTCCCTTTTGTTTTCATAGGATTACTACCATGATAATAGAGAGACAAGTTTCACACTTTGTTTTCTTTTTCTCTAGAATGTAAGTACATTACTTTGAGCTATTATGCCAGATCTTGCCACCCACTCTAGTTTGAACACAGCATGCAAATCCCATCCCTTCTCTCTTGTTGGGATAGTTGCTACACAAAAAGCTAAGACTTTGTCTAAGTAACTTGAATTATTTAATAACGCAACTTGTTGCCTTATTTCTCTATCCATTTAACCAGAAGTGGCCACTGGTAGCCAGCACTCAACTTAGGTTTATTTATTGTTCTTCCCATAAGTTCCCTGCATGGGAAGAGTTAATGTATGCTCCATTAAAGCCAACAGTAGGACAGTAACACCCTGTTGCTTAGACTAAGACTGTGGCAGATTCACTATCAATATTACAGAATTAGCCAGAAAGCTTCCACAAGAATTTGAGAGCACACTTGCCTCTAATGACTTAACAGTAATCAAACTTGACTAGAATAGATTAGTCACTTTTCTAACCAAGCCAACCAGAGACTTGAACTGGCCTTACCAGTCCCCAGGATGGTACTATGCTATTACCTCCATCTAGAAAGAGACCAGTAATCTTGTAGTAGGCATCACCTGATTAATGTTAGCCAGTGGCTCCTCATCCTGTACCAGCATCTGAGAGAACTGCAGGCCTTGCTCTGGACTGACTCTCATCACACTTCTCAGCAAGAAGATCCAGTCTGGAGTATAGCCAACCTAGAGATTTCCAAAAAGAGTCATGCATGTCTTGGAAGCTGCTTCAAATTCTTTAGTATAGGCACTATGAACTGCTGTGAGGTTGCCATGCCCATCCCCCAGGAATTCTCTGACAAAAGCATTGCTTGTGTGTTGACACAGAAATTCAGTATTCACCTGCTTAGTAACTGAATTTGTGCCAGGGCATTTGTCTTGCTAGGCAAGAAAACTACTTGTAACAGGTCTTTCAAGTCTTAAGGCTTTATTTGTCAAGTAAGGTCCTAAACTTACAAGTGGACATCAGACAAATTGTTTTGTAAGCTGTCAAAAAAGGTCTTATGAATTTAGGAAGAATCTTGTTTTTATTCTCTAAAATAAGCTTGAGCCAGTCCATTAATTTGATAGTTCATAAAATTCTGGGTGTTCTGAATTTAATTTTTTGCAGACTGCTCAGACCTTAAGTCATACACTATGATTTCCACTATGACAATTAAGAAAACACTGTTTCTCAATCTAACCTACTTATCAGTTTTAAGCGACAGGAATCAAACTTATCTCATGGAAGATAGCTTGAGAATGTACACATTAAACATAAGATAGAGTCTAGCAGTTTGTGATCAACAACTTTACCTTTTTAGCATACAGCACTATTTTCTGGAATTGACCAGTTTCAGCAAAACACTGAATCACTTTGTTTGGCACGTTAGCACGAAGATAAACACTGAGTGCAAGGGTTGGGTCAGCTGTCTTCACCAAGTCTCCCAGCTCCTCTGAGCACTCCAGCTAAAGTCAGAAGTGACATTTTGTCAAGCAGAAGAATTCAGAGATGTAACAACTGAGTGTGAACGATACTTTTGATACTACAAGGCAACAGAATTAAGCTAATGTTATGATCGAGCCTACCTTGTCTTCCTTCAGCCACTTCTCCAAAAGCTGCTTGCGGCCCTGCTGTAGGACAGGGCGACAGAGCTCCAGAGACTCAAACTTGTTCAGCTGTCCCTGGTCAAGCAATATTCCAAAGTACTGGAGCAGGGGAGAGGCCTGCCCAGGCTGAGCTGGTACACTCTGGAACTTCCTGATTGTATCACTGGTACGTAGAATTCCCTGAAGAGGCACAAGATAGAGAGAAGCAATGTTTAATTAGTGAAGACTGAGTAGTATTAGTCAAAAACAGGTGTTAAGCTATCCACTGAAGCATCTACTCTTAAGCCTTCAGGGTGGAGATCTTCCTCAAACCAATGACATTCTAGCAAGAAGTCAGTGGCCACAGCAAGTCCAGTCTATGGTTGGAAAAGTATAGCAGATGCTCCTTTATAAGATACAGGAGCAATATATTACTTGGAAGAACTGAACTGCAGAGAACTAAGGCCAGTATTGCAGCACTTTAGTTTCTGAATGTCAAGTACTGAAATGCAAGTGAGCTAAGCAAGTCCACTACGGCAAATCCCCATGACTTTACTTTTGGATTTATTTACCTTTGGTGCAGATGCAGCTACTTTAGCAGCATCTGCGTAGCTTCCTTGAGCAAACAGTGTGTTGAACTTTCTGGCAAATAATTCCTCTGCCCCAGCTAGATTACTACGTATAGCCATACGCAGTCCCAAGTCAGGATTCTGGAGAACATTTGTAGCATAGTTCACTATGTTATCTTCCTCAACACAGACAGAAAGCACCTGGAAAGGACAAAAAAAAATATTGAGCAGTACTGTCTTTTCCACAACTACTATGAAATATAGCAACCAAATAGCTATGCAGCCCATCAGTGAAGTAGTAGATTATTAAAAAAAACTACGTTCCTCCCCAAGCAGTTTTGTACTAGGAGAGGTTAAAAACTGACTAATCAAATAGTTACTTGCTCCCTTCTATGATGTTTGTTGCATCAAGTCACTCATTAGGTTTGTTACATTCCATCTGAGCTTTAGGAAGCTCAAAAACAGAATGCTGGATTTGTTACCTGTCCTTTTTTGTTCACACCAATAATGCCTGAGGTAGGTTCATGAGGAGCTGTGACAAAGATAGTATCAGCACTAATACGGTTCATGTAGATGCACACTCCAGACTCCAAGTCATACATATGAATATATCCATACTTTGTGATCAGGTAGATAACACCATGCTTAATTCCAATCTGCCAAAAGATGAGTTTTTATTAGTCAAGACTAAAGCTATAACAGTTAAGACAGCTGCCTTTAGTCACAAGACAGTACTGCAGTGACATGCCTTTGCACTGACACTAAGAACAAATATAGCTTCAGGTTTCTTCCTTTCAGCCTCAAAGCAATGAACAGCTTTGCTGGCCATTTGGAGCCATAGCTCTGCTGAACAGAGAGGCTGAAGGGAAATTAAAACTCATCTGCAGTAAAGGACATACTCCCCATCCCAATGAACCAGACTGAGGGAGAAAGTTTGGGCATAATTAGCATTCTAGTCTAGATAGGTCAGTACCACGTTTCTGTTCAGAAATATTAATAACCCCACTCTTGCAACCCAAAGCACCAACAGAACCTAAACCAAGCTCAGCGACTGAGTACTCCAGTTTACCTGTCAAGTCACTTAAACTGGGGAGGCTTTCAAGCCAAAATGGTCTTCAGACAAAGAAGTACTTTCACTTTGGAACAAGTCTTTAGATGTTTTGTTAAACCTCAAGCTGAAGTACAGAGCCACATGAATCCTGCCATGTAGACAGTTTGCTTTGTGTACCTTAGTTTAAGGCATCTCTTGGTTCATTTACAAAGTTGGTCTATTAGGTCAGCAGTTGCATGCTCTGAGAGAGTTTGTTTTTATTACACAATTTCTAGTCCTGCAGACATGCTAAGTGAAGTTTGGTCTGTCAAGGCAACCAGCTATGTTCTTCCTAAAGAACCTCCCATTAACGTCCCCAATTGCCTTTCTTCTGTTGCTACTACAGGAGGTACGCTGATATAGGACTCCTTGCTCCATTTGTCTCTTGTAGTGATATCTGCTATAGATGAAATGCCACTTTTGTGTGAAGTTACATCAAGCACCATAACATTCTTATCCAGAACTCTGAACATTACTAGGAAGTTCGATAGCCAAAGCAATGTTACAGACATTCTACCAAATGACTCTATTGAGCTTTTGGGGGTCTGTTTTTTGTTGCTGTTGTGGGTTTTGTTGGTAGGGGTTTTGTTTGTTTTCCTTTTAAAACTACAATCTTAGTTTGACACATGTGGATATATACTGAAGCAGCCTATATATTTGTGTTTGAGTTACTGTTTTAGTGTCCAGGCTACCTCCCACAACTCTATTAACACCTCTCCCAGAACTAGGAGGAATGACAGCAAAGCATTAGTAGAAAGCATTCTTTACGATAGAGATGGCAGCTTCTTGCCAGGCTATAAAGTTGATTTTGGTTTGGGTTGGTTTTTTTGGTTTTTTTTGGTTTTGGTTTTTTTTTTGAGGGGGTAGGGGTCAAACGTTTACCTGCATTGCCACAGGAAAGTCTGTCTGTGCCTCAGGTGGGAAAAACACATCAACAGCTTTCTTAACAAATGGCTGATTTCCAGTAGCTGGCTGACCTACTTCAATTATGTGTAGCTAGGAAGAAAAGAACGTATGTCACAAGATTGCCTGCAAGTACAGCCACATGAAAGAAGTTCCTCTCTTCAGATATGCTACTGAAGTCATCTGCCATACTTCACTGATGAATATCTGCCCAATCCTGAACCAATACTGTCTGGGGAGCTGTGCTCCAGATATTTATCAGAGGGACAAGTTTTCCAGAACTTGATAAAGTAAAAAGCAGGAAAAGCTAAAACAAAGAAAAACCCCATGCTTTCTATGAAAGCAGACTGTATTTCTATTTAAGACAACTTGTTCAAGATGTTTTAAGTCAGATGTTGATTCATCAATTTGTGCAGGATAAGACTAGAAAGCTCAAGAAATTTTAGTGTAACCTCAGCTCTTTACAGACTGCTCAGCAGTTGTAGCATATTCAACTGCTACTGAATTCCACTATCTGTTTGATGCAAACAACATACCTACAGCACTAAGGTTCATCTAGCCTTTTTCTATACTAGATTCAAGATGCTGCTTAATAAATTACCTTCATACGCACAAAACACCACATGGGCCTAAACTGATGTTTTAACACCCTGAGCTCAGGTCTCATTGCATCTACATTTGTTCTTACATCTCAGTTGCACCCAAGCCATTCAGACTTTTTGTAGTTTCTATCCTATTGAAAGAAAGCATTTTGATGCTGACCAAATATGCTGTCCACATGGTTCCCAAGCTGTTCTTCAGAGACTGTATTCTAAACAATGTGATCACTGACGTTCTATTAGTATCTGCTATAGTAGAACAGGGAAACAGTTGCAGATTCTACCTTGCCCCCTGCAGGACTCCTCACAGCAAAACAGAAGAGAGTAGAAGGTTTGGCATTTCCCTCTATTTTGAATTCCGCAAAAGCTGCTGCATGGCCCTCTATAGGTTGGGAGACTTTTCTATCAACTGAGTACAGCTGCATTGCACCAACCACACGATTTTGCTAGAAAAAAAAAGAAGAAAGGTCAGCTTTTAGAGATAAGATTTCAAATGTTTATAGCAAGACTTTTGGGATAGTAAACTAAAAAGCAAATGCCTCTCATCCTCTCCTCCAACACTTTAATGACATTAAAGGTCAGGTTATTCCTACAAAAAAGATATTTTTGTATTTTTGATCTATAGAAACCAAAGTTAAGAAACTATAGCAGCTATTAGGTGAAGTGGGGCCATAACTCTCCCAATTGTTTTCGTAGCATGCTATTTCCAGGTAACTTACCTGTGCTGAAATTCCTATCAGCAGCAGCCATTTTTGGTGTTCATCTGTTCTGTAATTGATGATTTGGCAGCCTGCAAGACTAGCATGCCTGTCAAACATCTTTTGGGGTTGCGATTCTCCCTCCATGCTCCAGTGGTAGACTGCTGTCTCTGTCACCAAGGCAACTGTATTCACAGATATCCATTTCCAGAAGATCACTTCCTCTGCCATTGTGTGGGCTTTCATTTTACTTTTCATCTCAATGTTAAAAATCTGAAGTGTTTTCCCAGCTAGCATGACAAAACGCAAGAAACATCAGATAGATTACCACAATGGCCATCCTGCAGTCTGCCTATTTACAAGCACCCTGTTTAACCCACTATTCCAGTGATGTTACAGAAAGGGTTAGCATCCTGTTACATCTGAGTCTCCTTTAGTACTTGACTCATATCAAACAGGATCCCCTCTCCAACACTTCTATCATCCCTGAATCAAAAAAAGTCTTCTACTTATGGACACTTACATGGACATGCCAACAACTGACAAGCATAAACATTTTAATTAACTATAAGCTGTAGTTAACAGACTACAGAGCTTGCGTAAACTCCATTTTAGGTAACAGCACTGGTATACTAAGTTATAGGTGTCTAGTAGATGTCATTCAGTATAATTAATAGAAAGAATGGCTCCTGTTAGTGTCAATTTAGTAGCTGCTGTAGATGACCTGGACTGAGTTCAACAGCATGAGACTTGCAACAGTTTGAAATAGCCAAAGACCATAGCTTCCATTCTATTTTCCCGTTGATGGGCTCTGTACAACAGTAATACAAGTGCCTATTGAAGAGGCCAGTCAAAAGTTCAGAGAGATTATAGAATGGTTTGGAGCTTCAGTTCCAGTTAAGGTTACTTCCTCATGATTTAGGCAACTATATTGCAGGTTTAAGCTTGACTTTAACATTCCTTTCAACTACCAGAAGCAGTTAGTAAGGATAGACTTAAAACTAATGTTAATTGAACCAATCTATAAAGAGTAAGGCATTATTCAGAAAGAGTTTTCTTTCAGAAAGTCAGTGATGTTTTGTTTCACTACAGATGAGAACTCAGCTCTAGGAGTATTGTTTTCTGTTCACAAGACACCCACTCAGACTGCTAGAGTATTGGCTTGTAATTCCATTATTTCTGTCCACATTTCAGAAGTGTTTTCCCTGCTAGTAACAATTCTGACTGTCAAACTGGTAGATGTTCCTTCTACTGGAAAGTTTTGATGGATGAAGGCTGAAGGCCAGTGAGGAATTGTTTTCAAGAGGTACTAACCCTAAGTTAATATGCATCTGAGACTGCTCTATAATGTTTTAGCATAATTTATACAGTAAGTTGATCATATTAGTTTAATGCAGAGCCAAAAGACAACACAAGACTTCAGAACTGCCACATGCAGCATTTATGCTCCCCGGATTTACTGCATAAAGAACTGTTAAGCTGATCAACTAATTCCTAGGACAGCTTGTTAGCTTTCCTGGGACCAAGAGAGCCTGTTTCAGACCACCTTACTCTGCACACGCAGTTATAGTATTATACAAATGCAATAAGCCCAGGCCTAAGACCAGCTGTAAACCGATAGTTGGAAACAGCATATTTACTGTATTGGACAACAATTTGTCTAGCAGTGGACTGGTGCTATCAAGGGATTGATTTTGGAACTTCCACAGTGTGCAGCCTTGCATGCAGAAGGCAGACAGTTCTGGAAGGGCTCTGGTCACCATCTAAACAGGAATACCAGTATGTGCATACAGAAATTGCTCTCAAAGTCAGTCTTCCTGAAAAGGAAGCAGGATGTCCTTCCTAGTTGAGAACACAGAAGAAACCAACAAGCTACTAAAACAAGATAAAAGATTATGCTTGTCTATTTTCTAGACTGAATTTGACTGTTGTATTACAGTTGGAAATTGCTTTAGAAGCTTCATCAGGCAGCTAGCTCTGGATATGGGGGCCACAGGAGCCATACCAATACAATTTCTTAATTGTGGCAACATAAATTCAAACTTCAGAACTCTAAACTGTAATTAAACTACAAAAAATAAGCTACGTTATTTGGCTTAAGAGAGCACAGAACCTGCTATAAAGTCATAGTGAAGGCTAGCGTGAGTTTGAGTGTCTGCTGGAATGCTTTCTTAGGCCAACATCTGAGACAAAAAGCCAGACTTAGGTAAGTTTTTCTGGTCAAGCTACCAGGCTGATCAGTCAGACTATTATCTGCAGGTGTAGTCAACTAATCAGATTCATTTTTTGAACACTGGCACAAGAATTTACATTTCAGTTCACCGGAGCATGAAGTTTCTCCATTCCACAAAGAATGGAAGCACCCCCAAGTGCTGCATTCTCCACTTACACCGACTGGGGAGTACTCTCAGTACAGAGCAAAGCAAGAGAATCATGAACACAAGGACAAAGCATAAATCTTGGTACACTAGGAGAATGCCACATGCAATCCAGAAATGAAATTGTGCATACTGTATTTCAGTTTAAATCAAGAACCATTTCATTTCTTTTTCTGAGGGTGGGTTTGTATATTTATTGCTCAATAATCTTCAGATTATGAGCAACTCCCAATCATGGCACACAGACTCACGATACGCAACAGTTTTGATTATTGAAGCCTTCAGTCAATCAGCAGGGAAAGTTTTGAGTGACAGACTGACTTAAATCACGTCTTCAGTGCAGTTCACTGTAGTTCTGGTGGTTATTGTGGGTAACAACATATTGGTTAGGCAGCTCTATTCATCCTCTTTTCTACCCAATCCTTTGGTCATTAGATTATTGATAGAAGAGATCATTAAGTTTGCAATACCTGACAACACAACTTTGCTTGTCAATGTGGCATCACTCACTCAACATTATCTGTTCAGAGGACAAGTTTATTCACTGTGCATGGACAGAACAATACTTTTTGAGCAAGTCTTAATACTAACAAGAACAAAGCTATGTCCTTTGAAGCTGATAACCCATTTAGTCAGTTTTAAAACCAAATTATATAGTTTTCTTTTAACAGCTAGGTGAAGCTCTGCTAGTACAGAGAAGGTACTTTCCTTGCCAATATAGTTTAAAGGGGTCCAAGATTAAGGACAGTGAACTCTTAACATATCTGAAATTATTTTTTCATTGTTACCTTTACCCACACCCCAGGTAAGGCAGCCCTTTGCAAGCTGTATAAGTGTCTTAGCTGAATCTGTGATTCAGCTGAAGTCAAACATTAACACATTAGTTTTCCCCTAATGTCAATATAAGCCTGAGATCAAAGACAAGAAGTTACAGGGTTTGTGCCAGTTCTGAGGACAGTTATTTCTTGGACCCCTGAGTAATTCACCATGATTTTTCACAATAAAAAACACACTTAGGCAGAAATGAATAGCACACAGGACATGCTAGCAGAGGTCTCTCATAAAAATATTACAACTTGGTTTTGTCTATCAACTGTACTTCCATTATGTATATGCACACACACACACACAAACATTAAGAGCACACTCGTCTTCACTCGGTACAGTCAATAGTCAAAGCGGCCAAATGGTTAACAACAAGCCAATGGAGAACATTTTCACTATAATACCAGTTGAGGATTAAAATCCCACACCTGGCTATGAAGTGAACTGTCAAATGGCTACCTTAAAGTTCAGTACTTTTTATGAGATTAGACCATTCTGTACTACTGAACATGAAACGTCATGACAAAATTCACTCACCATCTGTTTAGATAAGATGCAGGAAGGAAAGTACATAGTCAGTAACAGTTATTGAGATTAAATACCAGAAGTTGGTCATTTAAGAAGAGAGCCAGATACGTATTAAAAATTATTTCTTTGAGCTCAGAGTCCTACTTAAAGGCACTATCAACACCACAGGCACTGGTAAACAGAGGTCTTCTATCTGCAAGATCCCATGACTGCCAAACTTAACGTGATTGTACATTCAGACTTCCACAGTTACTAGCCATCCTTATGACATTTTGTTGGTACCTAGTAAGCTCTTCGGAGCTACAAGAAAGGGCCAGGACAGAGCAGACAGTACGAATGCTTTACACCCCTATTCATCTTTACAAGTGTCCATTATGTTTACAACACCTGTTTAAAGGGAAGTATACCATATGTTGACCGGGTCCTCAATGAGACTAGGAGGCTGCAGTGTCAAGCCCAAGCATCTCACACCTACTTAAAGGCAAATCATCCAAAGATTATTGGAAAATTTACTGCCAAAAAATATAGCATGCAAGTTCAGGCAAGAATTCTTATTCTCATAGACATTGTTCTTAGAAAGGTTACATAAATCTTAAGAGCATATGTAAGCAATAATACAGCTAACCAGTAGGTTTCATACTGCATTAATAAAGCGTTACTCACCTTTTAGTGCAATTACTTTAGAAGCTGGATTCATGATGGCACTTTCGGCAGAAATTGGACGTCTGATGGGTGTTGTTGGATCGCTCATGTCAATTATCACTACTTGTGCCTGCTCTCCCACCTTCTCCCTGATACAGATGAACTTGTCAGATTCCATTGTTAGGGTACTGAATCCAATGTTTGCTGGGTTAATGCCCAAATTTTGGAGCTAGAAAGACAAAGAGAGTGCTTTATTATCCTTCTCATGTTGAAGATCAAACTCAAGCCTCTATGTCTCATGTCTCTTCCAGAAGGAAATGCAAGACTGGCATATTTCTCTGACAAGAGTGTATATTACAGAGTTACAATTTATCTTCTGATTCTTTCTTCCATAGGTAAAGAACTACACTATTCTCAGTATTCAAGTCCTAAAGACATTCCAAAGTTGTGTCATTGATGCAAACTAAAAGGAGTTTTTCAGTATTTATTGCTTGTTCTAGTAATGTGTTAGGCTGTATACTATCAGTAGCATCACTATTCCAGATTTAGCAAGGCTGGTAAATTTGATGTTAAAAACTTATTAAGTGGCAGAACTACAACATACAGCATCAGTAGGTCTTACAGAAAGAACCAATTACCCTTATGCAACCCACTCTTAGCAACTTTATGGAATGAAGTCTACATAGGTGGTCTCAAATGACTTTTTTTTTTTTTTTTTTTTTTTACACAAGTAGACATGTTCATCTTCCTTCATAGAATCTAATTCTGAGCAGTGAAAGCTAACAAAGATGTGTTAAAATAACCTGTCATTCCATCCCTCCTTGCCCAAGATGTCATGCCATTTGGCTCAAAGACAGGTATTTCAATGCAGGCCCTTCCAGCTTTATGTCTGACTCTCAAAGCATAACTTACACTCGATCATATGACAGTGGGTACAAAGCAGTTACTCTTAATGCAACTTAAAGTCATTTCTATTTCTCATTTTCATCCTTTTACGTTAACTTTGTTTCCATTCACTTCCCATTTCAGGTTAACAGGAAGAGGTGGCAGTGGATGACTATCACTGTTTCAGTTGGTCTGCAGTAAATCAGATTTACCTGTGCAGCACACCCCAGCTTGGTATGTATGCAAGTCACATTTTATATAACAGTAACTGTGACAAGCCTGAGCACCTGCTTTATGCCCCAGAGCAATGCTTTTTCAAGCAGAGAAACTGTAGCATCTTCACTGAAGCTTCTTAAGGGATTAGTCTATACTGCTTTTCAGTGCACTGCAAGTGAAAAATGATTGCCTTCAAGGAGACAGGATAGAAACCACCACCAGCATCACTGAGTCATTAGATTCCTTTGGTACATACCACCAGGACCTTCATACAATGGACTAGACCCCTTGGGCAACAAGTCCCACGATAGTGTCACAAACACTGTTTTAGTGTGTTTTGATCTGGCTGATCATGGCTTGTTACAGCTTCTGTAAAGCTACTCACTAAATCATAAATTGGGTATGTAACAGTTACCTAGAAGTGTGGTGTGTCAGGACTGTGCCCTCAGGAATAGTTTTGTTTTCTGTTCAGCTTACTAATGAAGAGCTATTCAGCTCAGTAACTGCCAATCTCAACACACCCAAGTTTCATTAATGCAATACAAGCCAAATACACACATGTGTAAAAAGACATTTACTCCCTTCTGCAAGTGTGTCTCAGCAAAATTGAGACCCATTCAACTAACACCTCACTTTATAGGCAAAAGCTTCATAAACACTAGTAAACTTTAGTTTCATTCAGTCCAAAAGAGAATCAAACTTTAGGCACAAGAACATCAGAAGCTGCTTGCAACTAGAGTTTTGAAAACAAATCCACTGAGCATGCGGCTATTACAGACTTCTGTGCCAGTATGGAAAGAAGTTTCCATATCAAGATACTCATGTACTTTTCATATGTAATGCAGAAAGTTTTAGTACTCAAACCTGCAAGTTGTAGCTCCATCAATTTCTGTGACCTTGAACAGAGGAATAAATGATGGGCTGAGTTCCCCTGTTCTTGGTCATATGCTCTAGACTGGACAATGTCCACTTATTGTGACAGATTACATGTTCGCATACTAGACACTTGAGCACTGTAATGTTGAGCATGACTCAAGCCCATCTACCAATATAGTCCATTGTAAGAGACTAAATGTCACAAGAATGGTCAAGAGATTTAACTACAGCATACCCAAGTACCTAACTTGATTTAATTAATCCAGACTCAGATGTATTTCCAGAGTACTAAAGTAGAAACACAGCCTCTTCAAGGTCTCTTCTTGATCGCTGTGCTTCAGCTTGACCTACTCTTCAAGAGACAGCCCCCGGCCACTCATTCTGCGTTGTGAGAATCTTGAAGCATTAGCCTACTTGAAGTTCAGCTTTAAGCCCAAGGTTATTCACTCCAAAATCTGGTTGATGTTGAAGAATAACACTTTGGGTATCTTCACTAAGATTTTTGCATCAAGTTCTGGCATTAACATTTCCCATTTTAACTGTTATAAAATCTAGCAAAGCTTTCAGAAAATATAATGCTAAATTATGCATGAGTATCACTGCTGTGCTTATTATTAGGGAAGTCAGTCACATCTTTTAAAGGCAAAATGTCAGTACTTCCTAAAGGACGGTCATGTGAATACTGAAAGCATCCGTAAATGACGACAATGCTTCACATTTTAGCAGACTGAAAACACTAAAGGCTGTTCCTGCCACCAGGAGAGCAATAAGTATCCTCATCAGATCATACGTGCTCCTATAACATGGAAGCAGTGTAAGAAGCATATTCCTTATGACTATACATAAGAACATGAGCAGAATCTCTTTACCACCAAATAAAGGGACATCAGCCCGCATCGCTTCTATCCTGAATGGAACAAACCTGCCAAGACAATCTGGACTATGGTGTTCTAAAGCACCTTCACCCCTTCCTAAAGCATGGAATTAAGAAAGCTTTATTACAGGAGATAGCAAGCATTTAGCTATGTATCTTAAAAGGAGTCAGGTGAGGGTGCTACAGGTCATTAGTGAAGTTTGTATATATTAGAGATTTTGCAGTTTCTTCTCATAAAGGAGTAAACATCATCGTTACTAAATTTTCATTTAAGGCAAGCAGTATTCAAACTAAGGTTGCCTTCTTCTAAAAAGGATTCAATATTACAAAGTCATTCCAGAGACATTTACTATGGGGATAAGTGATTTTACCCCACACTTTACTTTTCTGTAATCCAGTTAAACCCTACCAAGCACCCCTACGTAGGTTACTGTAAGCCTGGCTGTAAAAGAAAGGATAACATTCTGTTCTACAATAACAGCCTAATGCTTCTTCTACCCTTTCATGCCCTAATGCCCATTATCTACATGTACAGTGTAGAACATCTTCACTATCAAGCTGAATGAAACAGATAGCAGGTTTTTGCTTCATAGATATCCAGTATTACCGCAAACTGGATTAGATATCAAACTTACTTTTAAGCATCTTATGGCTACTGAGAACTGACATGGTAAAGATTAACCCGAGATATGTTGTTTGATTCTCAACCTGAATGAAGACACACGAATCCTACACTTTGAGTGAAATACAACTATAAATCCGGGATTTATTCTTTCCCCATTCTACTTTACCAACATGGTACTATTTGCTAAGAAATGGAGTTGAGATGTTTTTACACAAGAATTCTACTACATATTGGGCTAAGGCATCTCCCTTTCTGTGGAGTGCAACGATCCAGACTGAGCCAACAGAGAATAACTCAGACACTGATACTACCAGTCTTCAAACTAAGTCCATTTCTCTAATAGGCAATACTGAAGCCTAACTTACTGTTCGTTCAATACTGACACTCCAATACTTGGGACCTACTGCCACTTAAATACTGGAGTCATAAGAACTCTGAGTTTCAGATCCCTCCAGGGTTCAGTAAATATCCCATTTCAGCTTCATGTCACACAGCTCTAGTGGAAATGCTTTTTGGAGGTGATCAACTCTTGGGTTTTAAGCCTGTTAGGAAAGAGTAAGGCTTGGACAGAGGCTATAGGTATCCAAATATTAAAAACTGCCTGCTAAAAGCTCTGTAAGCACATATAATTTTAAGCCTAATACAAAGAATGCAGTTTCTCAGAATTCTTACTCATGTGACTATATAAAGTTAGAATCATGCTCAATAAGGATCTGCATATAGTTGTTAGACATACTCTCTCAATTGCCCACCCTCACCTCATCTCCTGATATAGTTCCCATCTTGACAGGCACGGGACATCAAGGAAGTATACAGGAGCTGAAATGTGCAAGACCACCGACTCACAGGTTTTAGTTGCAGTTGCAATTAGGCTTTCATCTTAAGTGACAGTTACTCCCTACACAAAAAATCTGTTCTTCTATGTCTGTGATGAGAATTAGAACATCTATTGATTGAGTCTCCCTACCACATGTAGGGCACTTCTCAACTGGGTGAGCAAATATGGTCTCTTCAACACTAAATAGCTGAATCAAGTCATGATATTTAGCCCTACCTTTTGAATATAAGTCCAAAAAGTCATTTACAGCTTGCAAATATCCTGAGTGCTTTTAAGTCCACATCTAGCCAAAACAAACTCATGAAAGCCATTACACTTCAGCACAGTCATGCCTATTGCACAACAGATAGTAATTCTTAACAAGACATCTCAGACTATCCAAATAGAAAGTGGTTTTGTCCAGAAAATGACAGAAGTAAATCTACATCCTTTACATTTAAAACCAGGTTACCTTAGCTTCTCAGTGCTGCACCAAGATGCATAAAACTTATGCATCAAGAGCATGTCACGCACACAATTTTTTTTACATTAGTTGGAATGAGCCTATATTAGTTATTCAACAGAAAGCAGAAGCCTGTCTACAGATCCATGTGTCTATCCATCTAAGGGATGGAGCCCCCCAACCTAGGAACCTAAGACTTTGTATAAGCAATAGCTTTCTCTGCAGGCTAGCGGAGATTTTTGCTAGTGAAAACTGAAAGATCAAAAGGGGACAAAGACAAGCTTTTAAGAGCAAACCAATGACTAAGTAAAGTTTAATTTTAGATCAAGAACACTTTGTACACCAAATTCCAGTAGTATTGCTTCTTGTCTACATAGCAGTATATTTAGTCTTTTACAGCATTTCCATCGTAAACTACAATCCCCTTGGAAGAGTTCAATCTGGTAAATAACTTATAATTCAGAGCT